ACAATGAAATCCGAGAGAAGTCGGCCAAAAGTTGAGTCCGAAGTTGCTTGCTTCCTCCTCCGATGATGTGCGTGGGTTTGGTGTGGTGAATGGTGGCATGCTGTTTTGATGTGAGGGTGGTGGTGATCTGCGTGGAGAGTGAAAAAGGAGTGATGGTGATGGGTTGTTGCGTGGGTTTTGGAGTTGGGCTGGGGTTTGGGTTTTTTTTTTGGTGAAGGGTTTTGTGGTGTGGGATTGGAGGAAGGCTGAAGGGATGATGGAGGCGTGGAAGTGATGAGGTCGCCGGAGTTGGTGTGGAGTTGGTGGAAGGTTTGGGGGGGAAGGTTTTTGGCGTAGGTTGATGATGGTGGTGAGGTGTGGGGATTTAGTCTCACCAAAAATAAAATCCTAATCCTCTTTTTATAGGATTTACTCAAACCCTATTTCTTCAGTAATAAGAAAACTTATTTCTCAATTAAAATTGGGATTATTTACGATTTCTTCCTCATTAGTTCTTACGATCTTCATTTAGGCCCTTTTTAGTTGCTCTTTTTTTTCAATTTAGTCCAAAACCTCAACAATTCTTCCATTTGAGTACAAAACCACAAATAAAGATAAAATCATATAAATAACATATTTGTACTCAAACTATATTGCAAAAATCACAAATTAAGGATATAATAAATAGGTAAAATATAAGCATATCAAATACCCCACTTGAATTATTGCTTGTCCTCAAGCATTTTCTCAAGAATTAAAACAAATAAAAACATTAAATTATTTAATTTTATCGGCCTCGGAGATTTAATATCATATTACACAAAGACCTCGACTACCTCTAATATGCATTACCTAACAAAATATAAACTATAGCTACTTTTAGCCCCCACGCTTGTGTGTGTGCGCGATTCGTTTCTTAGGGACATCACTTTACATTTAACATAGAAAATAAAAGCTCTACTGCAAATATGCCATTTTACTTTAACAACAGACTCACATTTCATACCATATTTCAATGCAATGGACCACCAAACATACTATGAAGTAGAAGGACTTATCTCACAAACAACCTATTCCCCCTCGTAACCCATTCTTCTGTCCATGCGGCTTTTTTTCAGGGCTCTTTCCAACTCAGGCCACTACCCAGAGCATTTTTCCACTCCTATACATAGTGGCTTAGCAACTTAGGGTAGTCTATATATCTATTTTCCTCACCGGGCCTGAGGACTCTCCGCTCAGGTTGCCAATTCCTCACCTCTCAATCGGCTAGTATCAACATTGAATGCTCTTCCTTTTCTCCCTCATTAAAATTAACCTAACCTCATAAGCATCCGCCAACACCCCTCCCCCAAACTTACTTAACACAAAGTGTCAAAGTAAGAAAGTTTTTTAAGGCTGATATTGGGTTAATCCCTTGCTTTTCCTTCACAACATGATGGGTCTCACATACATATCATATAAGTATGAGTGAATCAAACACAACTTTTCATGGCATATCTACATCAAACTCATGCAACTATGTCTCACTTTAGGCTTATCCCACAGTCACGACTAAGTGCATAAAAAGCAAGGTATTCAAAGCAACATATAGAAATACATAAGTTAAGCAATACAATTCAAAATAGTCTAATTCTTTCATGTTATAGATAATTAAACCAACTTCATCATAGTCCTTTTTGGATTTTTTAATTTTTTCAATTTTTATGGTTTTTTTTTTTCAAAACACAAAACACAAATATTCCTCTCCCCCACACTTAAAGCATACATTGCCCTCAATGTATAAAACACAAAAGACAAGACAACCAAGTGAAAAGAAAAGAAAAGAAATAAATAAAAAGAATGAAAAGAAACGACACAACCTTGGGAATGCAAAGCGGAGGACCGGAATTGTTGAATAAACTATTGCAACTGCTATCCAAGCACACGACCAACTTCTTCAGACTTTTGGATGTTTCATTTTCAGCTCCACTGGACACCAGAGTTTCACCCTTCCAACAAACCTAATTGCAAACTAAAATAAATTAATAAAACAAACCTAAAAAAATAGATGATTAGGAAAACCACGAAAATCCATAAATCAAAGATCTCTAGATAATCAGGAATAAAAAACTTAACCACCAACTTATTTGCACATTTAAGAAAATAAAATAAAGGAAATTAAAACTTGGGTTGCCTCCCAATAAGCGCTGTTTTATAGTCTTTAGCCGGACTCCAGGACTGATCTGTCAGAGTACCCATCTCGATACCAGAAGAAACCATGTTCAGCAGCAACAATGAATTTCTTGTAGTGGTTCTCCTTTCCATGAGAAAATATAAACTTATACTCCAACACTACAACATCCTCTTTCTCAAATTCAATCTTGTACCATTGATCCTATTCTTAGTTTTCTATTGAATCATCTTTCACATCTTTCACATCATCCACACTATCTCTTATACTATGGACAACCTCGCCATATTTGTCTACTTGAAACCCTTCTTTTGAAACTATAGGAATGTTATTCTCATCAAAATCAACTTGATCCACATCCTTGTCACCAACTCTCAGAATGAGCGAATCATGCTTAACTACTATGTATATATCAGAAGAATCAGGAGAACTTGGAATATCTAAACTTGTAATCTCTTTGGTCTCTTCTAATTCTTCACATTCAAGCTCAATTTGAGATAGTGGCTGGGGAGACTGGACCAATGAATCATCTTCAGAAATATTCTCATTCTTATTCAATTTAAGCAAATTTCCTATAGGATCATATTCCGACAACCCCACACTCAAGCTATATTGATTGACCTCTTCGATAAGTTGTTGGCCTTTTTCACTTTGAAAATCTCGAAGAGCTGCCTCTCTAATAATAAGTTGAGGATGAGCAGGTAGCTGCTGATACGAAGATCCTAACTATCTCAAAGTGGGTTGACAAGGTGATGACTGTAAGGCTGCTAGCTCTCTCAGAGTAGGTTGACGAGCTGCTAACTCTCTCAGAGTAGGTTGACAAGGTGGTGGTTGTAAATCTGGTAGCTCTATAAGAGTAGGTTGAGCTTGTGGTGGCTGATATTCAGATGTGTTGGAATAATAACAATCCTCTTGAGAGAAATTTGAAACATTTTTCTTCTCGATATCATCCAGCAATTTATCAATTCTCTCCAAATATGACAACATCTTAGGACTCATATACGCGCTCTCAAAACCAGAATTGTACCCAGCATCAAATGAGTATCCCTGATAATCACAACCATAATAAGGATCAATAAAGCATTTATTCCAAGAATACGGATCTTCTTGATATGTAGGATAGTCTCCATAGTCATAATTATAACTATAATACGGAGCATCTCCATATTCATAGTTAAAATTCTCCATAATAGCTCAAATATCCTACAAAAATATTGACACAAGAAAGAAAAGAGAATAAAAATAAAAATAATAAATTAATAAAATAAAGGAAACTATATACAAATCTAAATTAATAAAAGATATAATCTAGTTTTGATATTGGTTATGCCTTCCTCGGCAACGGCGCCAAATTTGACAAGCCGTCGTCACACTAGTCAAATATTAATTACCTACTTAATACAATTACTAGTAGTAAAGCAGAAAGTAGGGTCGATCCCACAGAGAAGGTTACCAAGTACTGGTTAAAATTATTTCTTATTATTATTTAGATTAACAATTTATCAATTTAAACTAATCTAAACCTAAAACTATCAATTACAATTAATTAAAGATATAAATAAGTAAAAGAAAAACCTAGGGCAAAGGGTTCACCAACCGAGTATTCAGTTTAATTCAACCCATAGATATGTGACTTTGGACTTTCATTAATCTCACAACGATTCACCTATTTAAGAACTATTCACTGTCGTGATATAATTCTCTTACTTAAACTAACCCTATGACTACTGTCGTGACTATAGGGATTAATAAAAGCACATTAAGAACTTTAGAATCTCTAGCTGCAAAGGCGGTGTTCCTACTGTCGTGGCTCACTACCTAAGTTTAATATTTCCATGAACTAATGTTAACCTTCAACCATCGTTCCTTCAGTTAAACACCTTTAAAGCATGCAAGTGGTGATCAAATACTCACATGGAATAAAAACAAGAATATTAAATATCAACTAATGAAAAAGTCACAATCATGAATTAAATTAAGTTAAATAGTACGGCGGCTACATCCAAAACCCTAGATTAAATAATTTAGCTACACATCATCTCAAAAATAAATAAAACAATGAAACCCGGGAGAAGTCGGCCAAAAGTTGAGTCCGAAGTTGCTTGCTTCCTCATCCGATGATGTGCGTGGGTTTGGTCCGGTAAATGGTGGCATGCTGTTTTGATGTGAGGGTGGTGGTGATCTGCGTGGAGAGTGAAAAAGGAGTGATGGTGATGGGTTGCTGCGTGGGTTTTGGAGTTGGAAGGTGGGTTTTGGAGTTGGGCTGGGGTTTGGGTTTTTTTTGGTGAAGGGTTTTGTGGTGTGGGGTTGGAGGAAGGCTGAAGGGATGATGGAGGCGTGGAGGTGATGAGGTCGGCGGAGTTGGTGTGGAGTTGGTGGAAGGTTTGGGGGGGAAGGTTTTTGGCGTAGGTTGATGATGGTGGTGAGGTGTGGGGATTTAGTCTCACCAAAAATAAAATCCTAATCCTCTTTTTGTAGGATTTACTCAAATCTTATTTCTTCAGTAATAAGAAAACTTATTTCCCAATGAAAATTGGGATTAAAATTTTTGCGATTTCTTCCTCATTAGTTCTTACAATCTTCATTTAGGCCCTTTTTAGTTTCTCTTTCTTTTCAATTTAGTCCAAAACCTCAACAATTCTTTCATTTGAGTACAAAACCTACAAATAAATATAAAATCATATAAATAGCATATTTGTACACAAAATATATTGCAAAAATCACACATTAGGGATATAATAAATAGGTAAAATATAAGCATATCACACATTCTTTCCTCAATTGTGTTATATAGTTCCTTTCTTTCATTCTCTGTGCCCAATTATAAAAACATTTGGTATTTATTTCCCCTTCAATAGCCCATACCAACTTTGCCCTTCTCTCCCAATATTCCCTTTGATCTTCCATCAACATATCGATTTCCTCTCTTAACCCCACATTCTCGTGTCCAATCCTCTATATCACTTCCATTTTCTTCATCACTCCCTTGATTCCCAAATCGATGGATCCGATCGATTGCCTATGTCAATTCCTCAAGTGCTTCATCACAATTTTAAAAATCTAGTTAGCCCTGAAACCTTATCATTACCATTCATTAGGGACTTATTTTCTAACCAACTTCTGTTCACTATCTCGTCCGCTGCCTTGTATTTTATTAGGCTTCCGAATCTCGAGTTCCCCTTGCCTCCTTTGTGTGACGGATACAAAACCAGTACTAAAGGTCCATGATCTGATCTCATGATAGGCAAGTTTTCCAGAATAACCCCTTGAAACATAGTTCTCCACTCATAATTTGATAAAACTCTGTCCTATCTTTCCCTAATCTCGTCTTTTCCCCGCCTCCCATTTGACCAAGAAAACCAAACTCCCCTATATTCCACTTCTTCAAATCCCAACCTTCGAAGCATCCCTTTCATCTCCTCCCTACCTTTCCAACTCAGTATGGCACCTCCCTTTTTATCAACATCATTTAATATCTTATTAAAATTCTCCATTAAGATCATGGGCCTTTTGTAGTTACCAAATAGCCTTTTAACTGGGCACACAACTCAACCCCCTTACTATATATAGGATCCCCATACACAAATCCCAGTCTCCATTCATTATCATGCGGTAGAATACTGGATGAGATTACAAAATTCTAGAAATTTCCTATTAAATTTCATATTAAAGATTTCTCTCTTGCCATGCATATCCTTTCTCCTACGCTCACTGAATCCACCTTTTACCAAGAATCAAAATTTGAGGATCACAGACGTTTACATACTCTAATACTATTAAATTTGATTTCCATATGGCATAATACAATAGGACAATGTATACGGTTTATTTCATTAAGGAAACAAACTGTAGGCCCTTTCCCAAGGCCCCTACAGTTCCAACAAAATAGACTCATGGACGCTGTGGTGACAGTTTTGGGACAGCCACCACAACCCCTTTCACAAAGCTGATAACAATGTTCATTACCTCAGTTATTGTTATTGTGGCGATATCGCATCCTCTACTTGGTGCGTCTCATTATTGGATTCCTTCGATTTGTGTCTCCTTAGAATCCTTCCAACCTCCCCCTTTGACAATTATTGGTCTATCCTCCTGTGAACCTCCTGTGTCTCAAGTAAAACAGAGAACTTCATCTTTCTCCCATGTATATAACTCCTATCCCAAGTTAACCACATGCGCCCTGCCAGTCGTCCTATTCCACCTTCCCCTTCCCCGTTGACACCCATGCTCCTCTACATACACTTCGTAGCCGTCAAATCCCCATCAAAACAATATGGCCTTTCCCACCTCTCCGGCATGCAACAGAGACCCCCAAACCGCGGCCAGGCACCTCACCAACTCCCGCCACTTACAGCTGCTCTCCAATGTCAACCCATTGTGGCGAAGCCGACTGGGAACGCAACAACCTCACCGCTCCCTTCATTGGCTTCCTGCTTCTCTGACTAAAGTTAAGACCTATGGCCTCTGATCTATTGCTGCATTGTTTTCTCGACAGTGGAATCAGTTGAGGTCCCCGACTCTAACCTGATCTCTTTATTAATGATCCTTCAAAATTCAGACTCGATACCATTGACCACACCATTCGACTGGGCCTCTCTACCACCCATACTGTAGGCCACCTTATCCACACCCTTATCCCCTTTCAGCACAGCTTTCTTGAATCTCTCCCTACATCCCGACCGATCTGTCCATAATCCAAATTTCATTTGCTAAATCCCACAACTCATCCAACTCCTCTCCAGCATCATCATTGCCCGAACTAACTACACTCCCTTTCAGTATCGTCACTTCCACTTGTTGAGCTGCCTTTGTGAACCTTTCTATCAAATCAAACCCTCATAGTTCACAATTACGCTCTGGTTCCTCTATATCCATAGTCCATATAAATTCTTCACCCAACACCCTCCTCTTTCTGCTACAATCGTCATCATCGTCATCATTATCCCAATTTAAGACAACAACAACAACGTCCTCCACCTTCCATTTTCCTGGCGGAGGTAAAGAAATCTGAATCCCACCAAAAAGGCTGGTTAACTACATTATCCGACATTTTGAATTTATTTCACAGTTCGGACCTCGCCTCCGTGCTTGTGTTTGTCCATTCACCACTGTGATTTTTTCCTCCCTAACCATTCTGTCCTCTTCGTACACCCAGATCGGCCTTCATTCACGAGCATATTATCGTCATGATCCCCAACAATCAAAAGATTGGACGGTGATGGAGTTCTTGAGGCGGCGAGAGAGGAGGGTCTTCTGCTTCCATGTTTTGTGTTTGCTGCCATAAAATCATTTTGCAACTCCATATCCTCCTCTAGAGTTAAACTCAGAAGGTTGCTAGTTAGCACATCTCCCAATTACCAACCATCCTCAGCAGTGATACTCTCAGAAATGTTCATCCCTGTTTATCCTTCGAAACCAACCAGAAATTCTCCATCATCTCATGTTTCCAACACTTCCGTTTCTCCCAAATTCTCCTGGCTATTCCAATCACGTGGCCTCGAGTTCTCTGCACGAGTTCCACCTTCCCTATTGGACCCGATTGACTACCTAGAATCACTAGCCCTCCATCACCACTTTCGGTTCGTGTAATCATACGCACATAACTTTCATAGGCAATCTTTACAAAACCTTGTGTTGGATCATCCTTCAGCAACTCAAATCGAAACTCATTTCTCACCTTGTCAGCTCTTCTACACAAAGGTCACATGGTACTTCTGCAAATAACCCTCTGGTAATCTAATGACCCTTCGGTCCGACCTATGTCTATGAGCTTTGATCGCTGCTGCATACAGCCTAAAACCCCTATCATCTTGTAATGGCAATCTCAAAGCCTCCGTATCACATCTAAAATTGACATACACGAATCGCTCCACCTCCTTATCAGAAAAGTGTGTCTGATACAACCTCATCTCTAACATATTTTGTGGATTCTTTCGCACTCGCATGTCCAATGTGGCCTCATCTCTTATATATTTTTGTGGTTTTTTTCATACTCGCACTCAATCCACACTTTGTCGCCAGCGCTCGTCCATATGTAGAAACCAAGAACAATGGAGCAGTTGACCCGCACTTCAACCCTAGCCACAAAAAATTTATATTACCATTTTCCCGGACCAGCCGCTTCCACATCCACTACTCCTCCAACAATATTAGCCAGCATCACCAAAACTTCCTTATCTTAAAACTCCATCAGAACTCAACTGAAATAGACCCAAACCATGCTTTGAGTTACTCGTGTATGCCAGAAAAAATATATCTGGCTCCAACCATCGTACCACTAATAATGCTCCTGGATGACATACGGGTAGAGCTGGCTATTGAGTTGGTAGGGCGATTATTGGGCATGTATATAACGGGTGAGAAATTATAGGATATGGAATTTTAACTACCTAATTATTTTACAAACAGATGGGATGGGTAGGGATTTAATAACGAGTAGCCCAATACCCATTGGGTATAGCTGGCAAAAATACTCAAACCCATTGGGATCCCAATGGGACTCCTGCTTATTGGAAGGATATTTTCCACCCATATCTTTATTTGGAACTTCTGGGTATGTGTTTATTTTGAGAGGGATCATACTGGGATTGGACTTTGCATACCCATGGGTTCCAATGAGGATTAAAAACAAGTAATTAACCAATACCCAATAATATCAATATCTATTTCCTTTCTCGCCGTCGCCGCTTTCCCATTGCTACCCACACCCACCCACTCTTCTACCGGCCGGTGTTGTGGTGCTCCTGCTCTAGCTACCTGGTTAAACATCCGCTTGGACTTTGGTGATTTTGTGGTTGCGTTTCAGTGTTTTCTTTCATTTCTCAACCCATTAATCTAGTGATCCTGATTTATTTCCTTATTTTTTTTTAAATTTCTCTAGCAAGTTGTTTTAGTAGTAACCAAATAATGAATTAATTTTTCATTTTCTTTAGCTAGGCGACTTGAATTCAATCAATGCCTTAATTCTGAGAGTTCAAGAGATCTAAGACAATAGGAGAACTGACGAATGAGGTTGTTATATAGGTGGGTTTTTGGATTTTGAATAGTGGAAAACAAAGAAAGCGTGGGAAAAAGACCGGCGGATGAAAAGAAAGGAAGAGATGAAAAAGGACAGAAATTTGAGTTGCTGAAACGACGGGATAAGATTTGAACGTGGATAGCAAGGTGTGCGAAGTAGGGATGGTCAGGCGTCGGAGGCTGTGGTGAGCGGAAGTTCTGGGGATGACGATGGCCAGAGTTGCGGCCTTAGTGATCAATTGAGAAAGTTTCGAATGCCGAGCAGATATAATTTGACTTTAATTTTATTCTAACCTTACTATATATTAAGAGAATTTTTTTCACAAGACATATGTAAGACAATTAGACCATCTATATTTTTCAAATACACGTGTCGCCTTTTCATTCGTTTAGAATTTTATGTAATACACATGTCATCTTATAATTCGTTTATTTTTTTATTGTATATTTATACATGTAACTAGTGATGTCTGGTCGCGCAATGCGCGACCCTGGCCCAATCTATCTGTAGATCTTAGAAATGTTTATATTTGAAAAAAATAAAATTTTGTATTTGGAGCGATAATGTTTGAAGGATTTAGAAATGTTTTATAAGTGTGATCATAGAAATATTTGTATTTCGCAAAAAAAAAAAATAAATTGTATTTCGCCATGTATATTTTAGAAATGTTTTATAAGTGTTACTTATTAAATATAAATAGCTTAATCGAATATATGTGTTGAAGTAAATGTTAGATAAAATATAAAAGCATCCTAATAAATTTAAATATTAGTAAGATGATTTATTGATGTTCTTCATTGGTCGTGCCAAATCAATACTTAGTTTTGGAGATTTTTAATAGCTTTGTAATAAGCTTCATCCAAAGGGTATTCGCTTAAAACAAAATTGACACTTTGTAACAAAAAACCTAATTGATCAATTCAATTTAAAAAATCACTCTAGTTAGAATGAAACATAAAGAAAAAATTAAAAAAAAAAACGTATCACGTAAAGTGCAAAGGGAGATTTAGTAATTTAGTTATGGTTAGACAAAAGGGCAATTTAGTATTTTCTACATGCCACGTAGCAATCATATGAGGTGTTTGAAAGGGAGGTTTTTGTTTCTAATATAGTAGGACATGGTCATTCTATTCATGGTAAAATGGTTATTTCATTAAAAAAATAACTCTCTCCAAAATAGAACAATCTCCGAATCGTCAACATGACCGGAGATGACTTCCAATAAGATCACTGACGATCGTGCCATCTTCATTCGGCGGCAAATTCCGTCGTCGTAACCTGAAATCATTAACACTCCGGCAATTGTTTCTTCTTCATTGTAATCTGAATTTCAGCCGCAGATAAGCAATTTTAATTTCACATTCGTCTATTTCAGATTCTTCTTCATCTCATCTCTGAATCAAAGATGTCTGGATGTGGAAAGGGAAGCAAGGGATTCGGATAGGGCGGTGCAAAGCGTGTACATTTCTCCACAGG